GAGCCTCTATCAGACAATCTGGCTGAAGGCAAGCTATATAGTAAAACTGACAAAGAATTGTTGAATATCTTGAGTTTAGTTTTCTAGTCTTTATGGCATGGATATACACAATATCACTACCAGCGATATCGATGTTAACCAAACATATAATGAGTAATACAGCAAGGTTTTCAGCTCCAGCTGTGAAGATAATAGCGTATGACTGATTGCTACACTTATGCATTTGATGGATGATTGCGATGCAGCAATGTACAGCTACTTATTGGCTGAAATCTATGGCGCAAGTATGCTTACTATCAAGTTCTTGAAAGAAGGCATTGATAATGTGCAAATGGGTATGGACTGCCGCAGAGAAATGCTGCAGCCTGAAGATAGCCGCTATTCAATGGTTAGCTTAGAGCACATCTTGGTATGCAAGCCTAATAGTGATGCATTCCTCATGCAATGTGATTTAGAAAAATAAATCAAATGTGTAACCTCAAATGGAACAATAAAATATAAAAACAGAATTGTATGTGCATTCTGTTTATTATATTTTTTAAACACAAGCTGCACTATAACCAATTCTATTTTTTGTTTCATAATAAATGAATCAAGAGTATTAAAAACACATGCAATAGGTGAAAATCGACCTTATTTCTCATCTAAAATGAATTCTTATCCCTAGTTGAATTTATTTTATAATTTAGAGGAAAAATCTAGTTTAGCTGTTGTCTACGTTTGCATAAACAACAACTAATTCTAGTTCTATTTCTCTGGGACTTCCGTGGGTTGAACACGGGACAGTACGAATTTAAGTCGCATGCTCTCCCTAACTGAGCTAAAGTCCCATTCTGTTGCTAGCACACGTTGCTCAACCTTACACAAAGAAAAGAGCTACATGCACTTTTATCAAACCTTAGTTCAGCTGCCATTTACAAATAGGCAAATTGTAGCTTTTGATCATCCAATATGGTCGTTTAACGCCCTTCCACGTCTCTTCATCCATGACTATATCGCTGCTCGCTTGTACGTATTCAGTAGTAATGCCAAGCTTGAGCAAATCAGCGCGTGCAATGTGGCAATATACATCGTGAAATAGTTTGTGATCGCCACCAAGTCCGTTAAAGAAGCTGTATATGCCATTGGGTTTGTTAAGGATAGGCACCTGTTCTCCGTCCCTTGTACTAAATATAGCACGATGAAAATCATCGAGGTCCTTGTAAAATTCGCCAAACGTGTCAAAAAAGATGCCGTCGTATGGGCCATGGCTTTGGATTTCGTCCAATTTGTCCTGCCACCTGCCAAAAATAATATGTACGCTGGGCTTGAGATGCCATCCTGCTTCTCTCATGTGGTTGTAGACATCCGGGTGCGCTTCGACAATTACATGTTTTTTGAGGTTCAGTTTTTGCAACGCAGAGTCGATAATACCCATGCCAAAGCCCACATTAAGAACAGTAGAGCCTGCACTCGGGCAGATTGCCTGGGCATGAAGCTCCATCAGCGGGGCTTCCCAGCTCATCATAACGCCGTTTTTCTCGGCATCAACTAGCTTATTTCCGCTATACTCTACAGGCTGCGACAGATAGTCCTCGTTTGCTGCCTTTTCATTGGACACAGAGTCGGCGTTAAGCATCCTAAGCACTAGCTCTGCGCGTATTCCGGCCTGGACAAGCTCATTGTATGCATCCGCATGACCATCGTTCTCGGCATAGTCGCCAGCAGTATAATTTCCCACATCCAAAGAATTCCACGGAACACCCGACTCGAGAACAAATCTACAGAGTGTGAAATTTTTTTACATAATATTTTCAGTTTTTTCAGCGAGCAGAGCAGGTGATGAGTCAAATAAAGCATATTACAACAACGAAAGAGCCAACCAAACAAAGAATATCTTACATCGAGATCATGTGCCTGGTATAGGGAAATGAAGTAGTGGCTCAAATAGCAAGACCAGGTGGATTTGCTTATGATGGTCGAAAAAACAGCAGTCACGCATTTTTCTCTAATATTGTCATTAGCATCAGCATTAGCATAATATGGCTAATAATAGTAATGAAAACCAGCAGCATCCAACTGACAGCACGCGTACAACACAAATTGCGTGCCTCTTTTGCTGGCTACGTACCTTACAGTCTCGACATCTCCGCTGGCTGCAGCAAAATGCAATGCAGTCCTCCCAGTCCCGTCAGTGACAAATATTTCGGCACCTTGCTTGACAAGCCCTTTAACCTTTTTGTGATCGCCTTCATAGCAAGCAGCTAGAAGCTGTGCCTCCTTTGATGGTGTGGTGGATTCCTGTTCTTTATCAATGTCAGACATCGCCCAAGAATTCGTTTCAATTGATCTATTTTACTAGTAATGACAGCAACAACGATAACGATGCGGATATTCAAATCAGATAAGCGAAATCGCTGGGGAAAGATAATATCAATAAAGCGGAAGAATATCAAGGCGAGCTAGCGAAAAAGGGTAATTAAGCAAAAAATAATGGCTGTAAAATGGGCCTCCTGACAGCGATTATGGATAATCTGCATAAAAGACGTGTGCGGGATCACATGGATTCCAGAAACGAAAAATAACACTAGTCTTACATTATTTATTTTTTGTATTTGTGCAAGGCGCTACTTGCAAATACTGGAAAGAGAAGTACGGAAAGCAAAGAAATCAGCGAGCCGATGGATATGAGAACTCTTCATTGTCTGCTTTGACAGCAAAAAAGAGGTTTCTGGCAGAGATTGAATCTCCAGTATAACTAAATTAATGTGAGCAGCACACATCAGGCATAACGGAAAGCAACAGCCAGACACCCAAATGCAATGTGTCTAGCTTTTTGCGCATGGAAAAAATAACAATGGTCATTGTGGCAGGTGAACGGAAATGCAAAGAAAGCGGATTGCGCTGCATCCAAACATCTACATGCCAGCAGCAACAAAACGCCCAGATGCTTTGACATTTTAGCAGCGATTATCCATCTTGTCATCATAAAAAGCGAAAATAAACAGCTTGCGAGCATCAGATTATTTTGTTAATCATCAGGTTGCTGCTTATTGTAGGTGCTGGCCGACATTAGTCCTGTGCACGAGGAAGAAGGGAGGATGTTGCTGCACGCCGCCATCAGCAAAAAAGGAAAATAAAAAGGACATTGCAACTATTCTATTTTGGTTGCTGCGGTCAGCTAGCTTACTGGAAGCAATCTACAATCTATAGAACCGGGCGTCGTGACACAGCACATTGGCACATCCCCATTCTTCTCCTCGTTACTTTCGTTTTTTGCCCGAAAGCAAATGCGGCAGCGGTCACAATCGGCAGTCTGCAGACAGGACAGAGCGGCAGACAGGCAGCCGACGGACAAGCACAGAGTAAAAAATACTGTTGCGCCGAATATTAACTAGGAACAAAGGAGCAAGGCAGGTCAGCAAGCACCAAGGGTGAATAGGAAGAGCGGAGCAGGATAAGCAAAGGGTGTGCACCAGCAACATTTGCAGCAAAGCCTTTTTGGACGGCTGTTATCTGCCTTTTCTGCTTGCCAGAAAGCAGAGGGGCAGAGCATTGGGAACCACGTAAGCATCGCCCACAGCCATCCATCTTTTCTCTGCCTTTGATTTTGCCAAGACCCACCACAACCTACCTTAGCCCAGTAGCCCTGCTGGGCATTTTTGCCAGCATTTATAAACCGAAGGGGTTGCTCCCGATCTTCCAAATCCCCTTTTTTCATTCTATTGCTTTTTCCCCTTGGTTGCACAAAAATCTTCTCCTTTCCTTTCTCCTTTCTTCCCCAGCCCAAACTCAATTTCTTCCTTGTTGCTTGCTGCGGCTAGCTCCTCAAACTATTTTTTACAAGTTGCTTTCGATTCTTCTCACCTGGTTCTTTTGGTTCATCCTTTCTTTCCATCCATGTGTTCTCCCCTAGCAATCTTGCTGTCCACATTGTCAACACCTATCCTGTAATAACGGTATCCAGCTTATTATATACCTGTTTTCGATATATACTATCAGTAATTTCATTTGTTAATTTTCTGGCTCTAGCTCTCTCTTTCTATACATCCCACTCTCCTTCTATACATCTCACTTTCCTTCTATACAGCTTTCTCTTTAAACTCGTCCATATCCGCTCGCGACTACCATCCATCTATCATTGCTGTAGATACAAAATCTTGCTTCCAAACATCTAAATTGATTATCCCTCTTTTGGCCGCTATTATTGCTGGAGCCGCGTTTTAGTGCCACCATCACGACAAAGCAGAAACCAATATATTTGCTATTTTACTGCATCCAAGATCTGTAAGAGGGTTTTTCTCTTTTCATCACTTTTCATTTTACCCCTTACTTGGCCAACGTATTCACCGTCAAGCAAACTGCTGCTTTGCTCGATTTCATTCCATTTTTATTTACTCTATTCATATATTTCAAGTAACGCCTAACTGCAACCGCACGATATAACTATAGTAACGGGTTAAGAACAGACTAATACAATGTGCAGCTCTAGCAAGAGTTGTCCTGGCATTACTAATGCAGAGGATATGTCCAAGCACGCTCCACAACGCTCAACAGTACCTTTGCATGCATGCGGCTGGAACTACTACTACGTGTGTCGTGAATGCGGGTACTATTCGACCCATGTTGCAGATAAAAACTGGCATATTGTTTCTGTTGGTCACAATGACTGGGTCGAAGTGTTCCTCTAGTCTGGAGCAAACTTAACAAAGCAATCGGTCCATATTTTTCTATCTATTTGTATTAACGAGGCATGTATATTTTATACCTATTTTTGGTCGTTTTCATAATCTTGCTGCAACCCTACATACCCGCCCCGCCTTCTACCTGCCTCTATACATTTGTATTACCTTGTGGACAATACAATCTTCATTGTTTCGCTTTAGCATCTCCTTTTTTATTGTATACAGAAAAGTAAAGAAAACGGCATATGTTGCAGCAACATTGTATTTTCTTTATCTCTCTCATATACACATATGCCGTTTTTTGGCATTTACCTCTCTTGACCATTTGCCAACATGCACAAACAGGTTTTCCGCACATATCAATATCATCAACTTCACAATGTTCCCTTTTTATAGCTTTTTTCCACTGGGTACCTTTCTAATATATAACATATGAAATACCAGTTATTTTGCAATAAACTGCACTGTATATTGTATCGATTTGTTCAAAAATGAGTGGCTGTTATTTTAAAAGAGCAGCAATAGCTGATGCCTATAGTTATTTCTGGGATGCGCGACCACCAATGCTGGCATAGTAGTCGTCCACGCGCTTTTGATGCTTTTTGACGTAGAATTCCTGGAAGAGAGTAGCGCACACAAATCCGCCGCCGAGACCAACGGTGATATCGCGAATAACGCGCTTTCTCAGCATACCAGTAATGGGCTTGAGTGGGGTAGCAGATGGCATTGTTTTCAGTTTATCGTTTCCACGCTATTCGTTCCTATGCAGCAATATAGACAAGGGAGATAAGGCTGATTAGAATTATGCTGCTTTTATTCCTTTTTGTGAATTTATTTAGGCTGACTGCAAAAGTAAAAGTATAAATCGAGTTGGCTGCTTGAATGAGCAAATCTTTTTTCTGTTTATTTACTAAGAAAAGGAGGGAGCGAAGGCTGCGCGTGTTTGAATCTACTTACAATAGAAATATATATATATATAAAGCACACAAATCGGCAATTGGAAAAGGAAAAAGCCTGATGGAGAAAGAGAAAGGCGAGTGCGGTGCTTGAGTCTGGATTTTCCACACGCTTTTTTCGATGCGGGGTTGGTGATAAGAGCAGCTCACGGCTCGATTTGGGAACAGGGAATATGCTGACGTTTTTCGTAAAGCCTCTCCTGGCTTCTT